GGGGGGGGTGTCTGCTGAGACCCTCTGCTCCAGCCTGCGCTCTGGACAGGCTCCCAGGACTTTGGGGCTCTGAGCAATGGGGGAAGGGGCAGAGCTGGAGCCCAGCCTCACCCTGTGCCCCTTGTCGCTCTCCCTGTTCCTGGCAGACGTTTTGCAGTTTCGCAGAAGAGGACGATGCTGCAGGCCAGGGGTGCAGATGGCCCTTTTGGGGCTGGTGACAGCCATGCTGTGGGCTGGGCTGCTGACCTTGCTGCTTCTGTGGCGTGAGAACATCCCCAGTCCCATGTGGCCCGCCTCTCATGGTCCCTCCCAGACACCCACTCTAAGATCCTGGGGAGCCCAACACAGCCCTTGGAGCCCAACTCCCCCACCATGTCTCCCACCCTGTCCCTGCCAGCCCCTTCTCATGTCTCTCCTTTCCTCCACTCTCAAGAGCCCCCCACCTGGGTGGGGCACCTGAAAAACCCCTTCCTCTCCTCTCCTCTTCTCTCCCCCTGCCCAGACTGGGACACTGTACAGGGTCTGAAACGGCTGGAAGACATCGCTGCCCTGAATGGTATGGAGGGGCCAGGGTGAGAGAGGGGCCTAGGACACCAGGCTCTTGTCCTGCTTCTGCCACTGACCACTGTGGGACGTGGGAGAAGGACTGGGCTCCAGTGTCCCCCCAGAACTCAAGGGTCAGCCTGTGTTCCTCTCTCCTCATGTGGGGGTTAAGCCCAGTGACTCTGGGAGAGGAGGACTCTGAGAAGTGCCTGTTAAAATGTTATAACTGCTCCATGCCTCAGCTTAGCCACCTGTAAAATGGGCATCATTTCAGTGCTATGAGGTGGAAACAAGCTAAGACTTGTGAAGCATTTAGAAGGTGCCTGCTATCCAATGAGCTTTCAGTAAATGCCTGCTGCTTTTATATTCCATTCCGGGGGGTGGAGTGCACAAATCCATTCTATTGCCTGCACTTTCCTGAGTACTTTTGCCACCAAAATTAAAAACAAAAAGCTGCAGCCATTGTGACTATGTGAGGGGGTCCCTGCACTTGGGGCTGGGGAGTGTGGGGGACTGACTCCTGAGGACACATCCCTTACTCCCCCAGTCTCTCAGGTTTCCAAGGATTTGGAAAGACACAGGGGTGACCAGATGGCCCAGAAATCCCAGGGTGAGTGGCTTCAGCTGGGGGTCTGGGAGAAAGAGAGGAAGGGGACTTGGAAGCACATGTGGATGCTGTGCTGCAGGTCACCTGTGAATTGCAAAGTGAGCAGGTGGCCCTGAAACCCCAGGCTAAGAGCCAAGGGGGCCTGTGTGGGGCATGGGGCCCTGACAGACTTGCTTACACTGAGCCCCTCCCTGCAAACAGCTGCCCAGATGTTGCAGAACGTGGAGGAAATCCAAGTAGAGCAGAAAAGAATGAAAACTCAGGGTGAGAGACTGGGGGTGTCCTAGAGCCACGGGGACCTTGAGATCCACAGGCATCACTCCTGACACCCTTCCTGCACCCCCCCGCCCCCGCCCCATCAGGCTTGGAGCTCTCTCAGAACCTGGATGGACTTCAAGAGGGCCTGAGCAACCTCAAGTCCCAGGGTGAGGCTTGGGACGGCCCGGGGTCGGGGAGGGACCAGGAGAGGCCCACAAGTTTGTCTGTGACCGCTGGCCCCATCCAACCACCCAAGGCTTAAATGAGAGACGCACAGCCTTGAATGCACTGGAAAGACTCTGGGAGGAGGTGGCGAAGCTGTGGATAGAGCTCCGGGTGTCCAACGGTGAGTGCGTGGGCCTGTGCCCACAGGTGTGCAGGTATGTGCATGTGACAATGCAGGTGTGTGGCGGGGCCAACAAAGGACACGCAGAAAGCCCTTTCTGAGTCTGGCTGCTCCCCTCCACCGGCCTGAGGGTGGGCGGGCCCAGTGTCTTCCTCCAGGTAGAAGCAGTCCTGTGTCTGCCATCACTGGGCTCTCTTTACTGACCAGTCCCCTGCCCCTCATGGCTCAGCAGGGGGTCACCAGTAGGATGCCCCAGCCACAGCCCCGCCACCCGCCAGAAGATTGTCTGACCCAGCCAGAGGGTGCAGGAGGATCACTGCCACAGCAATGGGGATGAAGCCATCGTGACATAGTCCCCAGGGGTGGCAGTGACAGAGCCAGTGCTGGTAGCTACAAGGATCGTGGGGGTGGCCCCAGCAGGCCAGTGTGCCTTTAGCCTGAAGTCCCGCTCCCCCCGCCTTGACTTTTGTTCTTCCACCTCTGGGAAGCCCCAGCTGCCTCAGTTGGGGGAGAGAAGAGGAAGGATCTGTGCTTGGTGGGAAGGAGTGCTGTCCCCTGGGACATGGTGTGGCTGTGGGAATTCCAGCAAGAAACCCCATGTGCACCCCCCGGGGAGACTGGGAGGAGGGGTCTGGACCACGCTCATGCTGAAGGATACTTCTGCTGTATGGCCAGCTCCAGGGCTGTCTCTGGATGACCAGGTGACACACAGCCACGACACCTTCCCCAAATTTTTCTTAAAGGGACCAGAGATGTTCTCTTCCTGTTTAACGTGGCTCCCCCAGAGGGCTGCGTACCGGTTGCCATTTCATGAGTGGGAAGCACACCCGGCTCTGTTCCTCCCAGGGCCTCACAGACTTCTGGGGACCCCAGGCTCCTTACAACAATTCCTCCCAAGCGCCACTCTAAGAAAAGCTATTTTAAATCATGGCTGAGTGGACCAGTAACAGTGGGTTCAACCCTCCCCCTGGAAATGCTGGTGGTAGTGACAGTGCCTGAGTTTCCCCGAGGTGGGAGCAAGGGGAGAGAGAGAGGCCAAGGTGGCCTTGGGTTGAGGCCATGGGGACCCAACTCTCCAGTCCCGTCCCCCCCCAGCCTCTCCTGGCCAATGAGAAGAAAATCAACTCCCTATCCCAGAAAGTGGCCAGGAGTGCTGGTTTGGGGTGCTGGCACTGATGGTGGCCGGGGCGGTTACCGGAGCAGTTGGCGAGAACAGTGCGGGGTAAAGTAACACTGGCCGTCCTGGTCCCAGTGTCGCCATCAGCACCGGTGGTTAAGACGTGGCTGGTGTGATGCTGGGGAAGGTGGCTGGCATTGGACGGATGGTGCTGTGCTGATGTCAGTGATGACGGTGTTGCTGACAGTGGTGGTGTCTGGGGACGTGGTGTTGGCAGATGAGACGCTGTGGACCACAGAGGCATTTGTGGTAACGTGTTGGCGGTCGAGGGCTTCTGACCATGATAATGTTTGTGGCAAAGACGTGATCGAGGTGCTGCCGGCCATTGTGCTGGTGCTGCGGAGGCGATGCGGGCGATGCGGTGCTGGGGCGTGTGGTCGTGGTAGCTCACTGACGGCTGCGGCGCTGGTGGCCGAGGCACGCTTATGGCCACGGTGTCAGCGGCTGACCTTCTGCTCACAGTGGAGGCATTTGTGGCGATGGTGCTGGCAATCGAGGTGCTCCTGCGGTGGGGCTGCCTTACCTTCAGCATCAGAGCTCCAGGGAAGGAGGGTACCCGCCAGACCCTCTGGTCTCCAGGTGGGTTTGCTTTCAGCCCACATCCCAGGAGTGACTCCAGGAGAGGTGCTGCCACCCACTCGGCCCATTGCACCCATGGTACCCAACAAGGTGCTCAGAACCCACCATAGCACCAGCCATGACACCTGCCGTGGTGTCTACCACAGCTGCCCCCTGGGTCTCTCCTCCACCCCAGGCTCCATGTGTAACACATGCCCTGAGAAGTGGGTCAATTTCCAACGAAAGTGCTACTACTTCGGCGAGGGCGCCAAGAGGTGGATCCAGGCCCGGTATGCCTGCAGCGAGCTCCAGGGGCGGCTGGTCAGCATCCATAACCAGGAGGAGCAGGTGGGCCTGGGCTCTGCGGAGGCGTGGCCAGCAAGTGGTCGAGGGGGAGGGGGAGGCGGAGCCCTGGCACAGCCTCTTGGGTGGTGGAGGGACCCTAGCCCATCTCCCCAGCCCTCCAGCCCTGTCCTGCTCCTCAGGACTTCTTGGCCAAATACATCAACAAGAAGGGCTCCTGGATTGGCCTTCGGGACCTGAACACAGAGGGGGAATTTGTCTGGATGGACGAGAACCCCCTGGACTATAGGTGAGAAGTGGGGATGTGAAGGAGATGGCCCTGGGCCCAGACTCAGAGAGCGGGAGCTCCCTGTGATGAGAGGGGAGGGTATCTGGAGGCAGGTGCCCCAGGCCCGGCCTCAGGAGAGCTTCTGGATTGTAATGGCAGGAGATGCTCAGGGTTTGGAGGGAGGCCTAGACCGGATCCAGGGGTGGGGTGAGAAGGACCCAGGTTCAGGGGTGTGTGTCTAGGCTGAAGGCAGTGGGGCTCCTTCCCCCAACCCCAACCTGACCCAAAGCCTTCTGCTCCAGCAACTGGCGGCCAGGGGAACCCAACAACGGGGACCAGGGCGAGGACTGCGTGATGATGCTAGGCTCTGGGCAGTGGAATGATGCCTTCTGCAACAGCTATCTCGATGGCTGGGTATGTGACCGGCTGGCCACATGCTGACTGCCCACCTGCCGCCTCGGTCCCCCAGACATGGACCTGACAGCCCCCTGCCTGCCCTCCAGGTGTTCCCCTCTTTGTGACTCCCCCACCGCAAACAGGGAACACCCAGGGCCAGAGTGGGACCCTGAGGATGACCAACCAAGGCCTAGGTGCCTCTTTTATGGCTGAAGAGTCCTGAAGACATTTTTCTCCTGCCCAAAGGAGGGCGGCTGACCCATCCCTGGCTCATGCCATCTTCCCAGAGGGCCTGTCCCTTGCCCCTCAGCCCAACTGGCTGTCACCACCTCCCTGCCTTCAAGTGCTCAGAGTTCCCGCCCTAAGAACCCCTGCTCATCAACCTGAAGGCTGGGAGCTCCCTCCAGCTAGGGTACAGGGCCTAGCAGTGCAGCTTTCCAGGGAGAGCAGGGGCCACCCTGACCTGTGCGCTTCCTCCATCATCTCCACCTCACCGCTGCTGGAGGCAGGAGCGGACCATGCCCTTGTGCTCCCCAGATGCAGCCCCTGTGTCCCTGCTCCACAGGACAGACCTGCAGCTCAAGCAGCCAGGCCTCCCCGCCCTCCCTGCATCAATAAATGGAGCGAAGACAGCCCCTCACACGTCTCTCCTCAGGGGCCTCACTCGTTCTGGTTTCCAGGGGTGGAAGGTGGGAGCTGGGAGGTCCAGAGCCTGGTACCTGAGGTCACCTCTGAGTATTGGGAACAACTGAAGTGGCATTTTTACCTCCCCACCTTTCTGCCCCCTCCTTCATTACAAGAAGCATTTACTAGGCAGGGCTGGACATAAGGACTCGGGTCCAGTGGCGCACAGAACATCTCTAGTGCCCCAGGAATCCTTCAGGGTGAAGCAGTGGGCTGACGACACTGAGCCTACTTCCCCTGCCCAGGCTGCTGGGAAAGGCCTAAGTCCACACAAAGCCCAGTGCACAGAAGGTGCTCAGTAAGCGCTAGCCGGGTGGAGAGACCGATGGGGAGGTGGCCCGGTCACCCGGCAGTCAGTTGAAGCCCAGAGGTTCCAACCCTACTCCCACTCAGTGGCCGAGGCAGCACCAGGCCCAGGCTTGGCCAAGGTCAGCCTGACACCAAAGGTAGAAGGGAAGCAGGCCAGGATCTCAGGACACCCCTTGTTAAACCCCTTTCCTGCCTCCCCCATCCCCAGTTCCTGGCTTAGAGGAGGCCAGACACGCTCACACGATTCTCAGGCCCACTCGAGGGGGAGGAAGAATCCATGGGCAGATGCCCACATTGGACTGCCAAGGTCCAGCCATGACCCAGGGGCCTGGGGAGGGTGCTATAGTGACATCTGGGAGTCCTGGGGCTCAGGACGAGGCAGGGACAGAGCAAAACCCTTGGAGTGAAACATGGGTTAGAATCCCAGATCACCTTTTTCTCTGTCCACTGCCCACCCCCATATTTGTCTCCCCCAGGGCCCCCCCCT